GTAGACACTAAAAGAAAAATGGAAACTTTTTAGAATGTTAAGTGTATTCAAACCATCTCTTTCTTCTTGTATCTTTGTTGACATCTGAATCTATTTCAAGAGATACTTAGGTAAAAAAAATTAATGGATTTTATATGAAAATATTTTGGAGGGAAATATTTGTCTTAATTTTATCTCTTCATTTTTGTATTGATTGTATATAATTAACAGTATAGTTAATTACATTTATCATTTGATTTATGATACATTTTTTATTGCTTAGCTATTTTATGTGCTTATATTTAAACATGTGATATAATAATATTTTGGTAATTGTTTATTTAACTCAGTTTTATAATAATAGATTTGAATTTTTGGTAAAAGATATTAATACATTTTAGTTGAAGTTATTTATTTTTATTTAATTAAAAACATTTTGGAAGGAAAGTTTAGTTCAACTTTCTATCTATTCACTTTTCTTTTCAATTTATAGATAATATAAAAATATAGAGTAATAACAAGATTGTTTGATTAAGATTAGTTTATATGCTACGCATATATATAAGTAAGCACACATCATCTTTACTTGTTCCCTGTGATATTGCACCTTCTGGTTTCTATGATGGAAGTAGAATCAGAAACTCAAGAGCTCTGTCTTCACATCAATGGGGGTAAGTAGCTTAATAACACCTACAAGATTCAATCAATCAAACAATAACAGAAATTCCGGCATAGAGGTTCTTGTGTTTACTTATGTTCTTGTTCTGTTTCATGTGTTGATGATAGAACCTGCAGAGAAATTTTCAACAGAACATACAAGTCACGACTATTCGCAGACTTTACGAGTGTCTCTCTATGTCATTCTCCTCTTAGCTGGAGAGACAGTAGCCACTCTCTTAGGTAGATTTTACTTCGTAAATGGCGGTAGAAGCATCTGGCTTGAGACCTTGGTTCAGCTTGTTGGGTTTCCTTTGACCTTTCCTTGTTACTGTTACATAAAGCCTGAGCCTTCCAAGACGATAACCATTACCGATAAAACTACTTCTTCCTTCTTGACACTATCTTTAGTGTATATTGGACTTGGCTTGCTTGTTGCTGGACAGAGTGTTTTATACTCTTTTGGATTACTCTACCTTCCTGTCTCAACTTTCTCTTTGATCTCTGCGTCACAATTGGCTTTTTTAACGCCGTCTTCTCTTACTTCTTCAACTCACAAAAGTTCACTCCTTTTATACTCAATTCACTTGTTCTCTTGACCATATCTTCAACACTTCTTGTCATTCAACATGAGTCTGAACCTTCTTCTTCGGAGTCCTCCCCCAAATCCAATTACGCGATTGGATACGCCTGCGCGATTGGTAGCTCAGCTAGTTACTCTCTGGTGCTTTCTTTAACAGATTATGTGTTTGAAAAGATTCTAAAGAAACATACTTTCAAGATGATTTTAGATATGGACACATACCCATCTTTAGTAAGCTACTTGTGCAGTTGTAGTTGGACTTTTTGGAAGTGGTGGATGGAAAATGTTGAGGACAGAAATGGAAGAGTTTAAACTTGGGAAAAGCTCTTTACATTTTGATAAATATCGGTTCGACGATATCATGGCAAGCTTTTTCGATTGGTAGTTTGGGTTTGATCCTTGAAGTTTCGTCACTTTTCTCAAATGTTATAGGCACTCTTGGTTTACCTGCTATTCCTGTTCTCGCTGTCGTGTTCTTCTGCGATGAAATGAGTGGAATAAAATTGATTGCAATGTTTTTGGCCGTATGGGGATTTGTTTCTTATGCTTATTAGCATTATGTCGATGATCCAAAACCAGAAAAAGTGCAAGAGCTTCCTCAACCTGAAGATGCAGAAGCACAAGAAGATAACAGTCATGGTCAAGCTTCCACAAAGATCCAAGAACCAAAACTTTTGTTTCTTAAACTAAGAAGTTAGAGGCCAAAACTAAATTGGAACTTTTTAATGTCAACTGTACTCAAAGGCATAATGTATCCACATTTTCAGAAATTAACAACTTCTGTCTTAAAGAGAATAGTGTAATAGGAGAAGATGATAGAAGCAAACAGTAACTCTTTTGTTCCCTTACAACAAAACTTATTAAATGCCAAGTTTACTCAAGGCATCTCTGTCGTTGTTGACTTCTGAATCCATTTGATAGATACTGAGAAAACAAGAAAGTCAGACACAAACAATATAAAACAAGTAAGAAAACATTTTTCACGTGGACTATAACCAATCAGATTAGAATGAGACCACAAAATAAAGCGTCTATAGATCTGTTTTCACCAAAATCAGACTATTTTAAACAACGTTGTGCATGGGAAGTTTGCTTAGAGACGCCAATGATTCAAAGTCAACGGTAAACAGGAGCGTACCTCTAATAAAATATGATGCACTTGCCTCCAAGACTCATTTATATAACAGCTTTAATTACTAAAGATCTGTTTGTGGGAAGTCTTCGTAGAGCGGCCATGGAAAGAACTCAAGAACTCTATGTCAATGGTAAGCAAGAAGCATCTCGTAGTGTAGATCTCTTTGAAAATCATCTGAAAACGTAAAGATCATTTGATTCTTGTACTAATAATGAGTCTTGTTTTCTTATGTTTCCAGCTCAGCAGAACTTAGAAGCAAACCAAACAGACCACGAGGAAATGAATACCGCCATGGAGATTGAATCATCGTCCATACCTCAATCGAAGAGGTGGCTTCGTATCTCCATTTATGCATTCTGTGTCCTCTCTTGCCAAGCACTTTCTACAATTCTAGGCAGATTGTACTATGAAAATGGTGGTAAAAGCACATGGATGGGAGCACTTGTTCAAATAATAGGCTTCCCTGCTCTGTTTCTCTTCCGCTTCTTTACCCTAACCAAAAATCCCAAATCAACAGTTGCAGATTTCATACAGTTCCCTTCTTTCATCACCCTTGGATCAGTTTACATGGTCACTGGACTGTTAGCATCTGCTATTACTTATATGTACTCAGTCGGGTTGCTTTACTTACCGGTTTCTACTTTCTCCCTCATCTTGGCCTCACAATTAGCCTTCACTGCTTTCTTCTCCTACTTCCTAAACTCTCAAAAGTTCACTCCTTTCATAGTGAATTCTCTATTTCTCCTTACTATTTCCTCTGCTCTCCTCGTGGTCAACACCGAGTCGCAAAACACAACAAAGGTTTCTAGAGTAAAATATGTAGTAGGGATCATATGTACCATTGGTGCTTCTGCTGGTACTGGACTGCTGCTATCTCTGGTACAACTAATCCTTAGGAAAGTTTTAAAGAAGCATACATTCTCAACGGTCATGGACATGGTTGCTTACCAATCTCTAGTTGCAAGCTGTGTGGTTCTCATAGGACTTTTTGCAAGCAAGGAATGGAAAACTTTAACAAGTGAGATGATAAACTACAAACTTGGGAAGGTACCATATGTTTTGACTTTGGCCTCGACAGCTATTTCATGGCAAGTCTACACCATTGGTGTTGTGGGATTGATCTTCGAGTCATCTTCTGTGTTTTCCAATTCCATAAGTGCTGTGGGATTGCCTATAGTTCCAATTGTAGCAGTTATATAGTTTTCCATGATAAAATGAACGCGCCAAAGATCTTCTCCATCATTTTAGCTATCTGGGGCTTCATTTCCTATGTCTATCAGCATTACCTCGATGAAAAAAGTCGAAGACTATCCACACAAATCCTATAGGAGGTCCTCGTCTACCTGCTGAGGAAGGTCACACAAACATACAAAGCGTATAGTTATGCATATATCCTGTATAAAGCTCATGTCTCGCCATACAGTTTGAGTATAGATATAAAAATGTGTAACTCTATTTGGCCAACTAGTGATTTAAGTAAATGACAATTTTTTTACATAAGATTCCAACATTTTTTTAGCAGAAAACCATGTCAAATTTTGTGATATTATTCATTTTTGTGAGTCATAACTTACAAAGATTCAAATGTACTACTCTCTGCTTTGTCATTGCGCAATGCACCTGAAACACTGAAAACAAGAGTACGCAGTGAAACATGTCTAATTGAAAAAAAGCATAGAAAGATAACAAATAATGTTGCTCTTTTCTTCACTTGCAACAAAACTTTTGTATCTTTTTTGTTGACTTCTGAGTCAACGTCAATATATACTGAGACAAAATAAGTTTTCTAAGAGCCGCCATTGAAAGGATTCAATAATTCCAAGTCAAAGTGTAAACAAAAAAAGAAAAGTCAAAGGTCAACAAGAGCCAACTAAATATGATGCTACTGTCCCTATCCCTTGTCCCATCTATTTAATCATTCACTAAAAGTCTGTCATGTTTTATAATGCAACTTGTGTGTATAAAGAGAAGCCTCTTGCGTATATTTGCAAGACATCTCAGACCAAACAAAAAACCAAAATCTATAAAGGCAATATTCTTTCTTCCACTACTTTTTCTTCCAATTTCTCATGGATAGATATCAAGAACTCTATGCCAATGGTATGCAAGAAGAAGCACACAGTGGTGTAGAATAGACCATTTGATTCTTGTTCATGATATATAATAACCATGAGTGTTACTTTTTTTCAGGTGACCAGAACTTAGAAGCTAACTTAATAGATCATGAGGTACCTGAATCATCATCATCGGTACCTGAAACGAAGAACTATAAAAGGTGGCTCCGTGTCTCCATATATGTAATCTTTGTCCTCTTCTGCCAACCACTTGCTACAATTCTGGGAAGATTGTACTATGAAAATGGAGGGAAGAGCACATACGTTGTAACACTTCTCCAACTCATTGGCTTCCCTGTTCTGATTCTCTTCCGTTTCTTTTCGCGAATCAGACAACCAAAATCAACAGATTCAAGTTTCAGACATGGACCTTCCTTCACCACTCTTGCATCAGTTTACATTTGCACTGGACTGCTAGTATCTGCTTACGCTTATCTGTCTGCAGTTGGATTGCTCTACTTACCGGTTTCTACTTTCTCCCTCATCTTGGCCTCACAGTTGGCCTTCACCGCCTTCTTCTCGTTTTTCCTTAACTCTCAAAAGTTCACTCCTTTCATAGTGAATTCTCTGTTTCTCCTCACTGTTTCCTCTGCCCTTCTTGTGGTCAACACTGACTCACAAAACACAACAAATGTCTCTAGATTACAATACGTGATCGGGTTCATTTGCACCATCGGTGCTTCCGCTGGGATCGGATTGCTGCTATCTCTGATACAACTGCTATTCAGGAAAGTTTTCAAGAAGCATACATCCTCAGCAGTCATGGACTTGGCCATATACCAGTCTCTAGTTGCGAGTTGTGTTGTTCTCATTGGACTTTTTGTAAGTGGAGAGTGGAAAACTTTGCCGAGTGAGATGAGAAACTACAAACTCGGGCAAGTGTCATACGTTATGACTTTGGCCTCTGCAGCTATCTCCTGGCAAGTCTACACCGTTGGTCTTGTGGGACTGATTTTCGAGTCGTCTTCTGTGTTCTCCAATTCCATAACTGCTGTGGGATTGCCTATAGTACCATTCTTAGCTGTGATAGTGTTTCATGATAGAATGGACGCTTCGAAGATCTTCTCTATCATTTTAGCTATATGGGGCTTCCTTTCATTTGTCTATCAGCACTACCTCGATGAAAAGAAGTTGACGACTTGCGACACAAACCTTGTCGAGGAAGATACACAAACTTGATGAAACGTAGCTATCAATGAAGGTTGTGCACACAGTCATGCATATATCCTATGTAAAGATTTTCTGTGTAATTTTCGTGATGGTTCCATGCAAATGGGACGCATTTCTCTCTATACAGCTTGAGCACGTATATCAGAAATGTCTAAGTCTAGTTGGCCAAATATTCAGTTTATAAGCCAAAGAGAAATTGTGTACATAAAGATACCAACATTTCAGGTATTTAGAACTTCTATTCAAAAGAAGTATAATGTGATACGAGCAGACATCTGATAAAAACTGTCCGGTTGGCCATAACTTACAAAGATGTCAATGCACTAACTCTGTTTTCTTGTTTTCAAATGCACCTGAAAATATTGTGAAACAAGAACAAACAGCAAATCATGTCTAATGAAAAAGATGAAATCTTAAACAGACAAGTCCAAACATGTTTGGTGAAACAAGTGACCAGAAATAAATTTCATGCAGAGACACATAGATTCAAGCATACTTGAGAAACAGAGATTTGAATAAAAAGCCAAGGAAAATAGAAATAATACCACTTGGAAGCCACTGACATAACAGATAGATAATGTAGCAACTTTAACAGTAACTCTTTCTTCCCTTGAAACAAAGATTATGTAAAAAAAGTGTACACAATGAGCTTGTCTTCTTGTATCTTTGCTCTCTTCTGATTCAACGTCAATAGATACTGAGAAAGAAAAGGTTTCAAGGAATTCCAATTCAAGTGTAAGAAAAAAATTCAAAATCAAAGGTCAACAAAAGCCTACTAAATTATAATGTCAATGTCCCAAGTCCCAGTCCTCACCTATAATGCAACTTGTGTGAGACATTTAATTTTAATACAAAGAGAGGACCTTGACGTTGAAGACTAGCCACACAAACCCTGTCAAGGAAGATACACAAACTTGATGAAACGCAGCTATTGTTGAAGGTCACACAAACAAACATACAAAGTTGTGCACAAAGTCATGCATTGATCCTGTGTAAAGTTCGTCTGTATAATTTTTCGTGATGGTCCATGTAAATGGGACGCATGTCTGTTTTCTAGTTTTCAAATGCACCTGAACTATTGTAAATCAAAGACAAAGAGCAAATCATGTATAATGAAAATCTTAGACAGACCGGTCTAAACATCTTTGGGGAAACAGAGCTTTTAAAAAAAATAAGTGATCAGGAATAATACCATCTGGATCGACTTCCTCTGCCATCCAGTAGTATTATGTTGCAAATATCCTCTCTTGAAAAGGTAGGCAAGACATTATCTCCATCGTTTTCACTATTATCTTTGATGACAAGAACTTGAAGACTAGCCACGCAAACCCAATTGTATGCTTATCAACACGTCTCATCATAAGAGAAAGATAGTCAGAATTAAGACGAAGAAATTTGCAACATAAAGGAAAACAACCCAAAGAAATTTTAAAAGACGAAGAACTTTCAAAATTATCATCCTGAAGGCTACACAATCATACAACTTGTGCTTATGTTCATACATACATTTTTCAAGTTTCTGTGTTAAAAGTTTGTATTTGTCTATGCGTATATGAGGTTCATGTTTCTCCACACAGCTGCAAAAGAAAAATCTGAACGAATATTGGCTATACATAAGTTCCTCCATGACTTGACTCATCTCTTGGTCAACAATAGTGGCATCTTTGATGAAGTAAGATAAAGAAATTAAATTCACGACACGAGAAGAGATATAGTTGGCATTTACTCAATGTGGGGCCAAGTAAATTAGACGGTGACCGATTCCTAATCCCTGAATATATAGCTATGAATATCTCACCCATATCAAAGGAGCAATCATTTGGTAGCATATTAGCAACCAAAGAGAATTGATAATAAGATACCTAATATTTAGAATCCAC